TTTTTTGGAGGTGGGAGGGGAAGGGTGGGATGGGCTGAGTGGTTGTTGGGGAGTTTCCTCTGCATGTTGAAATCCTGACTGCAATAGCACCATTCCTGTATCCATGAGTACTACCTTTCTAAAATACTATTTATACTGTAAAAACAAAATTGTGTTTCCTCCTCCCATTTTCAGATGCTGAGTTATGTTGAAACATGAACCTGGAACTGTCAAATGCCCTTCCTGGGTGCAAGGGTTTTCTTTTTTTTTTTTTTTTTTTTTTGGGTTGCTTTTTAAATCCCTCTTTTTGGATTAGGAGTGACTCGTGCAGATTTGGGGTAATGACCATATTGATGCCCCCTGGGCATCGGACTATTGAAAAGGAAATAGGAAATGCACATTCCTACCCCTTCCTGCGGTGAAATATATTTGTAAGTGTCTGATTATGTGCTATAAAAATAATGATTTTTTTTTTTTTTCCTTTCCTTTCTCCCCCTAGATTAAGGCTGTGATGTAGTTTTTGCCTATTTTTTTTCCTTTGCCTCTAGGTTCAAAATGAATTAAAGGCTGTTGAGCATTTCAGAATAACACTTTTTGGGGGGGTTGAAGTCTCTTCATTTCTAACTTTAAAAGTCCCTTGTACAGCAGGAGGAGGTGGCTGATAAAGCTGAGCCAAGAGAAGCTGAGGCTGATGAAGAAGAAGGTCTTTTCCTTGCCCTCTGGGATCTGTGCAGGAGCAGAGGTCGGTCATTGCACCCCTTCCCAAAATTAAAAACCCAGCTTGCAATGCACTTTTGTCCAAGGTCCAGCATTTGCTCCACCTGGCTCGTTGAGGAGAACTGGCTGCTGAAGAGCCAGGGGTGGTTCCAAAATCCATTATCCTTTAAATCACCAGTTTGCAGTTTAACAGTTTTCCTTGAGATGATCCGAGGAATGGTCCTAGTGGGAAGAAGCTGCTGATGGCACCTCCGTTGGAATTCGCACCCACACTGAGCTTACCTTTGGATTTAAGGTCTGCTGGAGGGCTGTACTAAGGACTGATACCATTTGAAAGATGTCTTAGGAAGCAGCACACACTTCCTGGG